ATATATATATATATATATATATATATATATATGTAGATATAGATAATATATATATAAGTACCCGCTTCTAACGACTAGTTTAATATAAATACAAATTAATTAATATAATAATATACGTACTACTGATCTACATTATCGATTAACAATGAGGTAAGAATCCTTCGATATTCGAATTTCGATACTCGAATTAATATTATCATAATTTGATAATAATTTAAGCATATATTTATATTTTTATTTACATTAATCTTTATTTCAATATTTTTCGTAACATTCGAGTTTTGAAAATCTAAATCGATAGTTTTGCTCACCCCATTGCGTAAAAAAGGAAAGATAAAAAAGGAGTGAGATTAGACAGACAGACAGACAAACAGAGTAAAAGAGAAATAGAAAGATGGTGATAAAGCATGCAAAAGTGAATAAAAAAGACTGCCTTCCAACGAGCCCAAAGGAGAGAGCCAGCGCAAAGTTGGTGGAAGTTTCTGCTCGTGAGCGTAGTGGCGTGCTCGCAATTTAGGTATACGAAACATTGAATTACGTAATCAAGAGAATAATATGTATATTACGTAGGTATATATATATATATATATATGTATATAAAAAGAGAGAGAGAGAATGTGAGAGTGTGGTGTGAGAAAAAGAAAGAGAGAGAGATAGAGAGTGAGAGAGAGCGAGAGAGAGAGAGAGAGAGAGAGAGAGATAGATACAATGTATATTTATATATGTATATATGCAAACAGAGATCTAAGTTGTATAATATAAAAAAGAACATGCAATATAAAAGATATATGTAATGCTCACATACACGAACGCACGCAGGCCAGAAGATAATCGAGAGATCGTTTAATTGATATATATATATATTTTTTTTTTATATTTTTCACTTTGTTCTTTTTTTATTTTTCGATTCCTCGTTTAAAACGATTAAAATAAGGAAAGGTGCAAACTGTTACCTTTATGATTCGGTCAAGTCAAGCAAACCTCGGGGGGTCCACGAGATACCGATGCATTCCCAGAGAGCCAAAGCAACGTAAATGTAATACACACTGTGTGTCTTTTGGAAAGGTAGGAGGATGTAGAAGGCTTCGGCATGGATTTATATTTAGGAAAAATAAAGGATGTGTGCGATTAATCTCAGGATATGTGAACTATATACGATAGTGATCTCGTTGGTTTAAACCATCTCATTGTTAGTAGGAATTTTGTTAGAAAATAATAAATAATAATAATTGAAATATTTGTTTATTTTTCTCTGGCGATTAAATGTTTCATCTTTATCTGTATTTGAGTTACGGTCCCAACGAGAACACGTTGATGATAGAAAATGGTGAGACGCAAGGGCCCGAGCCGTAAGCGTAATGACGTATTAATGACAATGGATGATGATGGAAATCAATTGGTGAGGTGTGTGATACTGATTACTGATTAACGATACGTGAAATGGATTTGTCAGGATAATATATCTTTCAACCCCGACGACATGCGTTATCTTTCACATGAATCAAATATTTATTCTTCACATAATATTTGGTTAATTATTTGTTTCAAGTATATATTGTAATCAATAAAACGAAATGTTTAACAATGAAAGAAAAAAATTGGAAAGAAAAAAAAGGATCCAAGGAAAGAGATTTATTTTTATTGATCTTATGACATTGAGAAGAATTTTTTTGTTGAACCCAACCCCAAACGATAAAAAGAAAATTTTGAACGAACAAACGTCATTATCATCGTCGTCATCGTCGGGGATGAAAACTTGCTTATAAGGTTAAAGGTTTATGGATAATTCGAGAATCAAGGTTTATCGGAATTATCAGGAAAAATCGTGATATGGATAAGGGTCGCCGATCATCTAGTTACCTTTTACCTGTAGCTTGGCCGTGTACCTGACCTCGGCGGCGGGGTTCGCGGCGACGCAGGTATAGTCGCCGGAGTGCTCGGCCGCAAGGTTCGTTATACTGAGGAGGCTAGAGTAGGGATCCAATTGGGAGATGTTAGCAACGGATGCCAGATTCGGTAGTAAGGAAAAGGGACTTTGGCCGTCTTTCAGCCAGGATATGGTTAAGGGTGGATCACCCGCCGCGACCCCGCACACCGTCCGCGTCCGCATCCCCTCGGAAAGGCCCTCTTGGAACGTAAATGGCTCAATAATAGGGGGTACTGGAAAAGGTCAAGAGAGAAGAGAGAACCATACGTGAGAGCGAGAAAAAGATGGCACCAAAAAAACGCAAGAACCTGGTACCAGGTAATATGTGTCATAATATATATATGTATATGTATAAGTATATATATATATAGCATCATAGTTGATGATAGTAAGTATGTATATATATATTATAGACAGTAGTACGTCCATGTATATATGGAATATATAGTATGTATATATATAGAATATATGTACAATAGAGGCAGTATAGTAACGTAGCAATGTAGAGGAGAGAGAGGGTGGCCCCGCCGCGGACCAGAACCTGCCGCCCTCACTTTTACACATAATCATTAGCATCGCACCACTCACACAAACGTACGTTCGTTTATAACGCAAAAAAAAGAGCGAGCATTCGACGTCCTTTCGATATTCTCACGTAACAATCTCCATGAATAATATAGATATAGGAGAATTCGTGTTTTCGATCGAGGTACATACATGCTGTTTTCTTCGACCGAGCATCACTCCAGGTGAATAACATTCCCGAAATGGTTATTCTTTGTACAACGAAACTAAGAAAACATATTTGTGATCGATGTATTTAAATAAAAGTATTCATGGAGAAAATCCGTGGATTGTCGAGAGGTCGGAAAGGAGAAAAATCGTCGAAATATGAAAACGGAATTAAATTGAAAAAGGGTTAGGTTTCGTGCACGAGGAATAGCTCTCACGCTAAGCGTGAGTCGTCATTGGATTAACCAGGTCTCTACGTTCCTAGTGACGTTAGGATAGTAGGCATCGAAAGAGTACGTCTTCTCGAAGCAGCGCGCAGGAATCCAGCGTTCGCGATTTAGCATTTTACGAATAAGCATTTAACAAATGACAAAAATAACAATTGTATAATAGTTCGTTCAATAGATTAATGGGCGTTAAGTAAAAAATATATATATTATTAAGAGATAGAGTATTAAAAAGCGAGATAAGATAAAAAAACGCTGCCGAGTTCCTGAAATCGCTCAAGATCTTCGAGCAGATCTCTCACACTCAGACAAACATCCACGCACGCATAAATTCGGGCGGCCAGGTGGTCGTCGGGCAAAAATTGTAGGGGGCCTAGAGGAGGATTACCATGAACCATTAGCTGCTGCGTGTGCGATACCTCTGCGGCCAAATTACGGGCCACACACGAGTAGTTGCCATTGTGATCTGGAGACAAACTTTCAATCATCAGTATGCTATTGTACTGGTCCACATTGGTAACAGTGACACGTTCCGATGGTCCCAACGACCTTCCGTCCTTGAGCCAAGAGATGGATAATGGCTGATCGCCCTTCGTCACCGAACAAGTAAGGGTCGTTCGTTCGCCGAGATGAAAATCGAGATCTGTCCTGAACGGGCTAATTTTTGGGGGAACTGAAATAACAATAACGATTGTTCGTGAGCGTTGAGAATGGCATAGGGGGTGAGCTCTAATGTGTCGTCCTTGATCTCTCCATCTCAACGGGACCGCATTTTCTCTGCAATTGATTATCTATCTTCTTCCTTGTTCGATCATTTTTCTTCTTTGATCTTTCGAAAATATTAATCTTTGGAATTTTGTTGTTTCTTCAATCGAGTTTGCTCGTTTGATCTCGTCCTCTTGTTCCTCTGTGCTTGCTAGTTTTGTTTAGACCTACGACAATTCTGTAAATTTGGAATTTCGAAATTAAGGCCTTACCGATTACTGCGACGTCTCCGGATCTTCTCGCGCTGTGTCCTTGCTTGTTACGTGCCCAGCAGGTGTATACTCCGGCGTCGGTCTTCTTTTGTACGTTGGTTATCACCAAGGTACCGTCTGGATGTACCTTCTGTCGAAGCTGATCCGGTAACTCGCGATTTGCTCGTTCCCATTTGATTTCTTCTATCGGATAACCAGCTACTGGACACTTCAAACGAAGCTGTTCACCATCAACTGCCGTCACTTTTGGAATTAGTCGAATGTAAGGTAGACCTGAGAAAAATGACATAATTTTTGTTTACAATTGAACAGGTAAAAGAATTAACATCTATCGCGTAGTTGTTAATTACCGTAAACGTTAAGACGTGCAGCATGTGTAACTTTTCCAGCACGATTTTCGGCTGTACAGGAATACTCTCCACCATCTTCGACCATCACGTGACTAATATTAACGTGAGATATTACATCACCGTGTACCGTCACATATTGTCCAATGACGAACCTTAAAAGTAATATTCGAGGATCGTTCAAATTAGAGAAATTTATTGTTTCATTATTACCACGAATAATATATGGTCAGATTTGATATTATGTTTTAATCATATTGAGAAAATAGAAAATGTATTTTATTATCCATAACGATTCGATGTTGATCGAATAAATACGTTGTTTTCGTTGATGGAAGGAAAAATGTGAAAACAAGAAGATGCAGTCATATTGACAATATGACGAGATCGTAAGAGAAAAATAAAGAAAGAGAAGCACATTTTATGTCGATCACTCGTTAAAATATACGATAGATAATAGAAAGGAAAAATAGCTCGAGGCATATCAAAGTGTGATCTTTATCTGGCAGTCTAACTACCCTTGTTGATATTTGCCATCTTTGATGCAATAAAATATTTCTCGTTTCTAGTTAGATAATCATGAAATTGAAGTTGTTATAGCGAGAAAAACATTTTACGCATGAACGAATATAAATGTTTCTGCATATTACGATATGCTGAATATACACGAAAAAAGTATAAAATAAAAACCAGAAATATTTATTTGTTACCCAGTATGATCGATTCAATTTAGCGTTTAAATGTTTGTTTGTTTGTTTTTTTCTTTCCCCCCCCCCAATATATTCATGCCGATAATATCGACACAACGAATTTCAAAGGTATTTTCTTTTTTTTTGTTTTTTTAAGCAAAAAATTTCGCACGATTCGGATGAATTACCTTCCATTAGTCGGTAAGGGGAAACCATCTAAAGCCCATGTGACCTGCGGCGTTGGATTTCCAGCAGCGGAACATTTTAATGACACAGCTGGTCCTGGTTGAAGAGTTTGCTCGATGAACGAATAGAGAAGAACCGGTGGTGCGTCTAAAACACAAAGTCCAAAATTATTCAAAAAATGTTCCATCTTTTACTTCTATCGTTCTATTCAAATTCTCAGTTTATGTTTCGTCGTGCTTACAGGTGTGACGATTGTTCGAAATATTTCAAAAGCTTCGTAATTATTGTTCAACTAGAGGGATATATTTATTTATTTCAATACATATATATATACTTTGTCGTATTAACGTTAACAGAGAGTTGTCAATTACCATACACCCTTTATACTTTAAAAGAAATAATGATAATTCATTATTTAAATGGATAAAAGCATGAAATATATTCAAGTTACTAACCAAAGTTCCGAGAACTCAGTAAACCTTACATCCTATGGTTTCTAACGATGATGCTTCATAAACAATATGAGAACGAGTATCTTTGTAAAAGAAGGATGAAGATAAAAAAAAGAAACAGAGAGAAGAAGAGACATTTTTTTGAAAGGCGATACGCTTGGCGCGCGTATCAATTGTTGGAACTGTTGGAAGTGGAGGAAGGGACAATGAGCTCGTTGCTACGGAAGTTTCCATGAATTTTTTTTTGCGATGTTCAACATAGAAGCCGAGAGAAGGAAGAAAGTGAAGAATAGAAGGAGATAGAATGAAAGAGAATAAGAATGGGAGTTCACTATCGCTCAGATTCGTGATCGAACGATGTTGAGATGTCGGGGACGAATTCTCGTTGGTCTGATCTTTGAGAGAGATAGAAGAAAAAAAAGAGAGAGAGAGAGAGAGAGAGAGAGAAAAGAAGCTTCAGGTTGTAATTAAAAGTGTCGATTTCATCGCCATTAAAAGAGTTTTGTATAGACGTCATTTTTATAAAGAGAACGAACGGATTGTCTAATGGGTAGTACGTAGGAAGAAAAATAAAAGAAGAAGAAGTCAAAAAGAAGAAGAAAGAAGAAGAAGAAGTAGAAGAAGACAGATAGATAGATATGTATATAAGTAAAACAAATATATATATATATATATATATATATATATATATATGTACATATATATTATAAAGAATGGAAGAAAGATAGGAAAGCTTTCGTCTGCAGGTGAATAAAGTGTTTTCTGCGGTCGGTGTTCGCGGATCCATGTTAAAATTGATGAACCTCGTCTCGATGCCTCCGAGCGATCATCAATGCTCGTCTAATGTGAGGGAGAACTCGAGAAGCGTGTGCACGAGGTGCGTAAGCCAGGACAAAATGGGACTTCCTACGGCCGGATAATGCTTTTCCTATCTATATCTATATATATATAGATATATATATATATCTACTAGCAGAGCTAGCTGGATAGTATGGGGTATCGGCAAATGGAATCTTTCTCTCTTTTTTCTCTCGTCGTGGAAAAATACGCGGTGTCGTGATTACGAGAGATAACGATGCCGTGTCGCCTGGGATGAATTGTTCTAGTTTTATATCTTGTGTCGACGTGTCGACGAGCATGCAGATCGAATTCAACTTGGAAATTTTCGCATCTTGTCGACAAATACAAGGTTACTTTTTTTTCTTCTTCCTTTTTACGTGTATCTTTTTTTTCTTGTTTTTTTTTTTTTTTTTTTTTTTTTTTAAATATTGACTTTCGGATCGAATGAAAAGAAGATGATGTTTTACATTCGACATAACATGTTCGGATGTTCATCAATACTTGGATTTGGTATGCGTTATTCCGACAGTTGCATGTCAGAAACACCTTCTCGTTCGACTTCGAACCCACGATAAAACCTTCCTACACATAAATTTGTTTTAGAAAGTGGAACGTCGACGAAACACAAATTTGCAAGTCGATCTCTCGATGTTTTTTTATTTTTTTTTATTTTCTTTTTATCTTTTTCTTGCAAACCAAACAGGAAAGATCTACGGTAGATTATAAAAGTTGGAGACAACCTCTCTATCTCGTTTTTCGCATATATTTTTCATATTTTTGTAACGATATCGTGGCACGTCGAAAGCGTATTATTTTTTAACGAACACGATCTTCTGCCGTCGTAGAAAAAATCGTCTCCGATATACTTTACAATGTTGAATAGAAATGGGGGTGAAAAAAGAAAAAATTCATTTAAATTCTAAAGATGTAAATTTTAAACAAGGTTTTTTTTTTTGAATTTTAAAGATTCGTATTATTGTCTTGCATACAAAAAAAAAATGGTTTAAAAAAATTTTAATATCGAAAATAAATAAAATATTTCCGTTTATTCTTATAATTTTTTTCAATTCGAAACACGTTCGATCGAGGAACACTTCGTAAGACCACGCCCGAATGGTTATCAGTTTTTTTCAAAGATCGAGCAATTTTCTTCGAACTACCATTTAAACATTCTTTGGAGAAAAAAAAAGATCGTTACCTATTAGTTCAACGCTACCTCTCTTTCATTTCTTTCTTGTTAGGTATTCTCGAATGAAATTGCAGAAAAGCGATCATCAAGTTTCTCTCTCTCTCTATTTCTTTCTCGTACTCTAGCAATAGTGTCCCTCCCCCTATAGCGTCGGTTGCACGAATTCCCTTTGACGTAAATTCCGTGCATTACTAACGCTGACGAGCGAGAGACGCTAACTTCATTGTTGTTTCAAAGGCCCTCCTCCTATTGCCTCTTTCCATTCCTGCTTACGGTATGCTCTCCTCTTTCATGCAATACCCCCGCACCCACAAAAGATAGGTGGTCCAGATATAGGGCAAACAGGGGTGGAGGTGCCTCGTTCTGGGGTACCTGCCTCGATAGACCGTGAGCGAGAGAAATAGAGGAACAATGATAGTACGAGAGAGAAAATGAGATCGAGACAGGCAAAGAGGATGATAGAAGAGAACAAGAGTTAGAGTTAGAGAGAGAGAGAGAGAGAGAGAGAGAGAGAGAGAGATGGAGAAAGAGAAACGAAGCACATTGCAAAGCGCCGTAAAAGAAGCCTTCTCCACTTCAAAGTACACACAGTTACTCTCTTCCAACAACGTGGCACGCGGTTACCTTGCTCTTTGCCAAGTAATCGAGTCCTCTGTAACTCAATCGGTAACGCAACTAGACCGATCTCGAGGCTCTGAGTCCTTCGTACAACATTTCTCGGTACCTGGCGCCTTTGACCGTGAAAGGAAAAGAGAAACGCTTATCGAGTTTGTCCCTTTACTTTCTCGGATATTGCACGTGTATATTACGTGCTAAATCCAAACGTATGTAGGTATTTGAAATACAAGGAAGAGGAAGAAGAAGATGATTAAATGTGGAAATAAATTATATAATTATGAAACTCGTTTATATTAACTTTAAACAAATTTCGATCAATTTTGTAGAATGTAATAAAAAATATATGAGATAGTATAGTTTAATTTATTTTTTCGTGTTAATATGTATTTACTTTGCCTACCGATAAAGTACACGTCGGTTAATGGGCTTTTAAATGATTTCTATTTTAATAATTGAAGCTAGACCGATCTCAAAGTTGAATCTTTCATAGAACATTTCTCGGTACCTGGCACCTTTGACCGTGAAAGGAAAAGAGAAACGCTTATCGAGTTTGTTCATTTACTTTCTAGAATATTGCACGTGTATATTACATTCTAAATCCAAACGTATGTTAAAATACAAGGAAGAGGAAGAAGAGGATGATTAAATATGGAAAAGAATTATATAATTGTTAAATACGTTTTTACGTTAAATTTTTAAAAATGTCGATCAATTTTGCAGGATGTAATAAAAAATATATGAGATAGAATCGTTTAATTTCGTTTTTCGTGCTAATACGCATTTGCTTTACCTACCGATAAAGTACACATCGACTAATGGGCTGTTAAATGATTTCTATTAATAATTGAGCTGATGGGACGGCATAAAGTGCGAACGATCATGAAACGCCGTTACGTGATAATTGAGATTGGAGAGAGGGAGTTTTCTAGCTATAATATGGCAGGGTTCGTATTTTACTCATTTGCTTTAACTATTTGTACTTTTTTTTTGCAGAAAGAAACCTACATATGTATCAACATGATATAACGATCGATTTTTCGATAGCTCGAAATTTGTGTAAATACAAAATACGTTAGCTTTGTTATCAGGTTCCAGTGATAGATGAGAAGACACGAGAGAGAATAGGAACGAAAGATCGATTTAGATGATAACAGAAGAGAGGATCATACGTACCTCCCAATTGCAATTCCGCGGAAGCCTGGGCTGTATCACCCTCGGACCTTCTGACGATGCACTGATACATTCCCCTGTCATCTCTACCTATACCATTTAGCCTCAATAATTCTGATTGTCTTCCAGTGCCCGGAAGCTGCCTGCCGTCCTTGTACCAGGTGATAAAGTGTGGTCCAGCTTGAGGATGTATACCAACCTCACACTTGAACTCGGCGTCACCACCCAAATGAACGCTCAGTAGCGATGGCGTTACTTCAACGTGAAGTGGTGCCGTCACTATGAGTCTGTAAAAATGAACAATTCAAATTGTTTGAAAAAGTAAATATGGGAGAATATAATTTCGTATATGCGTTATTATCTTAATCTTTGAATTATATCTTATAAATATCTATTGTTATAATTTCTATTCATTAGAATCTCCAATTACCTGATTTCGGCGCTAGCTTCACCTCCGGGATTCGATGCGGAACACCTATAAATACCACTATCTTCCAACGTTACGGCTTCTATTGCCAGCATAGAACCAAGTAAACGAGTTCTCGGTCCAGACAAGACTAGCATGGGTTCGGCACCTGTCTGTGCGTACCACCTTTAAAGGGAATAGAGAAAAATAAAGATTTTAATCGTATTATTGATAGTTGAAACATTCATATTAATATATCATTAGTAGAGTAATTTGTATTAGTTTACCAATGGTAATGAGGATGCAAATCAATAAAACGATGATACGATCGGTTATATAATTTAAACGTTATATATGGAGAGTTACGTTATTAATAAAAATTGTCATTTGCAATGCAAATGAATAAATTACAAATCTAAAGATAGATTTGTCATATTGATTCGACCACAAGTTGTAGCACGATAAGAACGTTATTAATAAGCAAATTATTGTAAATTACAAAGTAAAGAATATTCTAAAGTCGCTTTGTCGACAGACAAAATAAACAAGAAAAATAGTCAATATTGATTTATTAATAGAATTATATTTTATTTTTCATATATTAAGATATGAATCTTAAGTTAAAGTATTGTTCAAGTATTGTAAGTATCTACGATGCCATAAATTAACACAATTCTTTCTTACCTATTATAAAAATGTTCTCTACTGACAATGAGAGAATACTTTACTTGATATAACTAAACTCATTGCTAAACAAATTTGTCGAATCTTGGACAAAAGAAAAATGATACCATAGTTCTAAATATAAACATTCCAACAAAACATTGATCATTTTTTTTTCAGTTAGATAAAGTAACTTTAAGAACACTTTGTATGTAACGAAGTTGGTAGTCGTTCGAATTTATCAATGTATGGAATATGTATTTGTTCATATTCATCGACGAATGAAATAATTTTTCATCGAAAATTTCTAACTATCCAGTAAGAAAGATTCGCCTGGAGGCAAGGAGTTTAATTTTACTGGTTTTCGGTTATACGTCGACCTAGAAACGACGTTGAGTCGTATCCATGAGCATTTATCCCCTTGAATCCTCAGTTTCCTTTCGCCTTTCCAAGTTCTTGACAGTTCTCGATCAAGGCACGTTCGACCCACTCTCTCTCTCCTTCTTCCTTTATCTCTCTCTCTCTTTCTATATATATATATATCTCTTTTTGTTTCACCCTTCCCCATTTCCTTCCGTCCTTCTCCATTTATCGTACGTTTTCTTTATACCATCTCTCTTCTTAGTAATACGTAATGGACGTGGTTCCACGGGGGATTTCACTTTGTAGCAAAGTTTCGAGAGCAAAAGGGAAGTGGGCGGAGATAGAGAGAGAGAGAGAGAGAGAGAGAGAGAACGAGAGAGAGAGAAGTTGATCCGTTCTCAACTTCAATGTCCTGTTGAAAGTTAATGGTAAAAAAAGGAACACAAATTCGTCATCTAAATCGAAAACTTTATACGTAACTATTATATATAGGTATCTATGTAGCAAACTTGACTTAATGTCAAAAAAAAAGAGATTCTGTCATTTCGAGTTAAGGTAAAGACACCCTTGTAATTGATCTCGTGTCAGTAGTCGACCATTTTTCAAGAAATTCTGAAAAATAAGTATTTTCTAAAAGTTAGGTTAAGATGGGTACAGCACATCAATCGTGTCTTTTTCGATAACTTATTATTTTAAAAAATAAGATTTTTCATAATTTTTTGAAAGATGTTCGTCAACTATTCATACGATGTCAATCATTGATGCTTTTATCGTAACGTTTATGATCAGCTATAAAAGTTTATGTTAATTTGAGTTTTTAATTTGTAAATTGTTAGGTTAGGAAAAGGTATACTTTTTGTTTATGCTTTTACTCGTACTATTTTTAATACTTTCTATAGAACAATTACTAGTAAATTAAATTTACATTAATTTATTTCTAATTAAAAATGTAATTAACGATTTTTGATTTAACATAGAAGACATTTTACTTAAGTGAAGAAGGATTGAAAATTGAAAAACATATACACAATAGAAAACAAAAAATATGAAATATCTATTTATCAAAGAGGAAAATCTTGACTTTTTTGAACCGTAAACATTTATTTCGAATGAAAAAGTATCTATCAATATCCCAGGATCTATCGTTATTGTATATTTTTCATTAGAGGAAAATCGCTCTTGTGTGTTACGTAAAGTGAAGACAGAGACCAGCTGTATTTCAATATTGGCAATAAATTTTCATTTCGACGAATATTTTCCGCTTCGTATTGGCGTGTGCAGTGAACGGGGGTTGGGTTGGGTGAGGTGGGGCAGAGAGGGGGAAGGTTTTGTAGGAGAAGGGAGACAGTTGGAAATCGGGAAAGAGAAAGAAAGAGAGAATGAGAGAGAGAGGGAGAGAGAGAGAGAAGACTGAGAAAGCAAAAAAAAAGAATTCCGAGAGGGAAAACGTTGAAGTAGAGAGAAAAGCTTCTCGTCGACCCGGGCGACATGAAGAGCTTCCGATTGCGCCCTACTCGCGAGGTTTCACGATCGAGTGAGCTTCCACTTTTCCTCGATCAAAGTCGCGCCGCATCCTTGTTCCTTTTCTTTCCTTTCCACTTGGAACGCTTCTTTGCCCGCTTCTTTTCCTCCTTTTCCACCTCCTCCTTCTTATCTCTTTCATCCTCCTTTTTTTTCCTCTTCGAATCCCTTGTTCTTCTTGTTCTTCTTCTTCATCTTCTGCATCTTCTTCTTCTTCTTCTTCTATCCTCTTATTCTACTCGTAGAATCGATCGTAATTTCTCGTTGAAGAATGAAATGGATTAGAGAGGAAAGAGGGGAACAACAACGATCTTTGCGTTATATCTTCTTCCTCTTCTTCTTTTCTTTCCTTATCTTTCTTTTTTTCTTCCTATTCGGCAGTTCAACGATTCGCACATTCAATAGTCTTTTTAGCTGAGGAATTCGTCAAGTTTTGAATTCTAAGCTGATTTTTACGAGCTTCATAACGATTTAAAGAATTTCTTTGTTTAAAAAGAATACCTCGCAGTATTTATATTTGTAGTACAGATAACTCTCCTACAACACGGCATCTTATAACACGGTTTCTCTATAACACGATTCATAAATTGTGGGAACCCTCCTACAACGGTTTCCTTTCAAAAAACCTTTATACAGCACTGTACTTCTACAGCCGCGGCGAGACTTGCCGTTTTAAAGATACAGTGTTGCGGAAAAGTATTTCTAATCCTCTTTTGTAACCCCTCTTTTTGTACTGGCTCTGGGCCTCATACAACATGGTTTCACACAACACGACATTATCTAGAAACCTATCTACCGTGTTATAGGAGGGTTATCTCTATTTATATACCTTGCGGTATATATTTATTTATTTCGTAATCGTAATCGTTTAGATTCTTCTTCTTATTATTATTAATTGGCGTTATAGGAACTTGAAAGTTCATTGCCGCAAATACCAAATCCCTCCAGTGTTTCTGTCCCTGAACGCAACCCATCCATATTCGTGGTTTTCTTACCCTATTTCCTTAAGATCCTTCCTAATATTGTCCTCCTATCTACGTCTTGGTCAATACTTTGGATTAAAGGATTAATTAATAGACTTACCGATATTCAGGAGAAGGACAAGCTTGTGCGACGCAGACCAATGACGTTGATTCGTCTTGAGCTACGTGAACAACCCCGGAATTTTCGAGCATAACCGGAGGCATTATTCCCCTGTGATCTGAAAACAAATGTTTTGGGTCTTCAATTAATGACAGATAATTATGTCAATTTCAATTTATATCTCTTAGCTTAGGATTATAATTATTTTGATTGTAATAATATGTAAATAAATAAACTTACCAGCTATTCTAATATTAGCAGCTGAACTAACCACCACTAATCTGGTTAGTCGATGCATCGTTCGACATTTATATCCGTGTAATTGATCGCTAAATTCGAGACTGTGAACGAGAAGTTCACCGGTTGGTAATAGATGAAATTTTCCATCTGAAACAATTAATTAATTAACACAAATTATTATGAACACTTTATTTTCCAAACAAAATGTAGGAGGACTTCGTTAAGATAAAATCTTTGACGAAAGGAGATAACATTAACTAAATTATAAGATAAGTATAGATAAGTATATATATATATATATATATACTCGAACGAATGTATAATATTGGGTTGGTAATTAAGTAATTGCAGATTTTAAATAAGAATGAAAATTCAATATTTTTGCTTAAAAATATAAGTTTATTCAATTAGGTATTGTCCATTTTTGTTGATGACCATTTGTCATCGGTCAGGCAGTGTCATAATGCCACGTTCATAAAATTTCTGATCTTTGCTATTAAAAAACTGAATTAGGTGTAAAACAAAATCCGCAATGACTTAGTTGCCAACCCAATAGTATTAAATGCTATGTGATAAACATGGATTTGATATCCCATATTTATTTATATTGTACGAGTATAATAACAGATAATATAATATTAACATTTTCCAATAAAATTCGATTTAGTTGGGGTTATCTTTAATAGGTTTGATACTGCGAATTTCAATGGATTACGATATTTTCTAGCGAACTGATCCCTCAGGACGGTAATTATGCTAATTTTATGATTCTCTGGTCGCCTACTTTCTCTCTCTCTCTCTCTCTATCTCTCTAATTTCGTTCCTCTTTTCTGTCTCCAACAACGTGATATAGAGAACCTACTCCCAAAGACCAACCGTACTTAAGCTTTCGAGTCTCTTTAGATAAGCCGGAGTCGACGCTAACGACGGTAGTTATCCTAAACAGTCACGCCTGTTCTCGAAACTCGAATCTCTGTAAGTAGTCTTTAAAGCTTTCTCTTAGAATTTGCCTTTGAAGTTTCACTATCTAAGATTTTACGAAGATTCCATAGGTACGTACGTGCAGGAACGACTAATATTACCACGTGCTCATTTCCTAGAATTGTAAAATCGCGTTAATTTCGAAATTGGATGAATTTGAAACATTGATTTTTCGTTCAAAAGTTTTTTAATGATTTTTACAGATAGAAATTATTTTGATATATTATAATTATTATTTTTCAAGATAATGGATAGTAGTAATCAATGGTTAACTAAAAGCTAATGATACTCCTATAGGAAACTGAGGGTCACGTTTAGTCGCGAGACATTAACCGAACTAAGACCTAGTCTCTGATAAGGATAGACTCCTAAATAGCGATTGTCGGCCAAGTCAGGTGGACTGGCTAGATTATGTAGTTTAGGTATTACATTCGATAGAACCTATAGGGAGGTGTATATATGCGTCCCCATTGAAGGTAGATAGGACACCAATGTAGTTCAGTAACTGTACCTGCATCGAATTACGCATGGTCTGGTTCCGGCAATACTGCCAACTGGGATCTGGTATGTGTAGGAAAATATTGCTTCGATATATGTAAATTTGGCGTTGTGCGCGTTATGCAAAATTTTCAAACTGTTGTATTCGTGGTAATTTTGGAAAATGTAGAAAATATTATCGTACACTGTATGAGTTTTGCTCGTTTGTTATTTTCATTACATTCTCGTGTATGTTTACACGAAGAGAGAAATCGCTTTAGATTACTATTTTTAATTTAACACGCTAGCGTAGAGAGAGAGAGAGAGAGAGAGAGAGAGAGAGAGAGAGAGAGAGAATAATATCTTTCTCTCTGTGCGAAACGATTAAACAAAAGTAAAAGACACAATCGATAATAAAATATGTCATATGTGTTTACGTTAAAACATTTTCGAACGTGGATATTTCTGACGTAGTTAATAGCCAAACACGTTTTTTCCCCGTTTATATCTATTTTTTTCTTCCTTTCGTAGAGGGAACAAATTTTTATGATGTTTTTTTTTTCTGTGTTCCTGTCAAATAAAAGTTATACCAGAAGCGGACCGGTCGTTATTCGAATAGCTTGTGACAATAGTCACTTGGAGAGAGTCCAACTGCGTTGTCCTGCGTTTTCCCCTTTCCATGTACTATAGTCAACGCATATTGTCGGATCACTTAAATTTTGCACAATTCTTTGCGAGTTTCGGTATTACGAATTGAATAAAGAATGACAATTACGATTTAAAAACAAAATACGTCATCATTTTACATACTACCATTTGTAACAATATACGTATTATATTTCTTAAAAAGCAATGGAATGAATTTCATTAGAAGCAGAGTATATTTTTAAATCATATTAATTTTAATTACATGAGCTAAATGTAATTAAGTGTAATTATCGTCATTGAGAAAGAAGATACTTTTAAATATTTTTCTTTTTATTTTTTGTTTATCTTTTTCGCAAAGGAATATTTCACTAGCTTTGAATCGGATTAATTTCTGTGACTGTTAATGAGTCGTCGTCGTCGTCGTCGGTTCCGCGAGGTCGATGTCCTCGATGTACAATTTTCGTATCTACCCTCTATCGTTGTTAAAGATAGGAAGAGGTGTTGCAGGATTATTGTGGATATTAAATTTCGGTCTGGAGAAACAGCCCTAGGTGCCGGATATTAAATTTTAGTTCCTGGGTAAGCAATGACCCAACCGACATCATACTTCGTAGCTCTAACATACACGCGTGTGAAAATCATTCTGATGGCGTCTACTATAATTCTTTAGACATTGCACCATACACCAAAGACATATTCCTTTCTACGCTAGAAACTACTGGATTTTTATTATCTCCTTGTAGACTTTTACGCTCGTGCAAATATTTTAAATTACAGTCGTTCATTACGTTATAATGGTTGGTACGTTGCACCCATATTAATGTTAACGGAATTCTCATTGCTCGTAAAGCTAGAAAGAAATTGGTAGAAAAAAAAAAGAAGAAACATGGTGAAAAATAAAAATTCAACTAATTACAGCTGCAGGTACGAAAAGGCACAACCAAAAAAATAAATGTATAAAAAAAAATAAAAATAAAGATAAAATAAAATGAAAAACAAGAAAAATGAATTAAATTTACCTCCTTGTAACGAAGGATAAATGTAGGAAGATGGTTCCTGAATCCAGGACACAACACGCACCAAATCTTTGACGAAACTAGGAACGACGCATCTTAGTATCGCCGTGCATCCTTTTGATGCACCTCCGATTACCTCAACGTCCACTTTGTAGGCCTGAGCGACGACTGTTAACAGAAAACAACGATAAATGAGGATTTCATTATAATTTAGAATACAAAAGAATCTTATATTACTTGCATAGAAACCATTTTCGTATAAAATTCAAAACAAAGTACGTTTATTTTTAATTATTATGCAATTTATATATTACATTGAAATGAATAAAAACCAAAATAATTATTTAATTTTACGTACAGTCATAAATAGTCTCTTCCGTTGTTGCCGGTAGTAAATTTTTTTTTTTGAGTTGGTATAAAAAAAAATCTCTCACGTCACGCATAATATATTAAATAAGTATTAAATATGTATCGTCCACATTTGTAACTGTTTTCAAAGAATTAAGATTTAGTATTAAATCGTTAATTGTTTATTTTAAATATACCGTTTAATATAATAGAATAATTAGAATAACAATTTTTCCTATCAGATAGAAATAATATTTTCATTCATTAGCAAAAAGCATCTACTACTACTACTATTACTACTACTACTATTACTCGTATGAAAGAAAAAGTAGAAATGAATAAAAATTATATACATATGTATATAAATATAAATATATACGAATATAGTATATAAAATCGTGATATCCTAGGTATCATCATAGTGTGTGTGTGTGTGTCACGTCGTTATTCGCAGACTTTTTGGTGAATCTCGACATTGGCGTCGGCGTCGAGAAAGCGGTGAGGCGTAAGTTGACGTTGCTGTAACGAACGTCTCGTCCTCGGCGTCTGCTTTGCTCGTGTTTTTCTCCTCTCTCTCTTTCTCTCTCTCTTTTCCACATTTCTTTTTTTTCCTTTTTATTTTTTTTTGTTTCTCCCGTCGTCCTCTCGTTCAAGAGGGTACTACTATACTCTTCTTCTAGAGATTTTATTTACGTGGAAATTCCAAGGGCGACGGCCAGCTGCCACCCGATGGTTGTGCAGCTTGACACGACGTCGCGACGCCAAGAATACTCTCCCTTCCTGCCCATTTTCCCCTCCTCCCATTCTTTTTTCTTTTTTCTTTTTTCTTTTTTGTCTTTCTGTTTCTCTTTCCTTCGTCCTTTTTCTCTCTCTCTCTTTATCTTTTTCTTTCTTTCTTTCCATCACTTTTTCTCGAATAAGAAACTCGTTCGTTGATCTTACTCTTTTCTTTTCTTCGCAAAAATTCGCCAGTCGAGGGAGCCGTCACCCGGAAGTTTGCCTCCTCTATTTTCTTGCTCCTTTTTATATACCCCCCTCACCATCTCCCCCTCTCCCTCTCCCACCGCTCAACCCTGTCCTCTTATATATATATATATATAACTTCTCATCCAAGCTTCATTCTCGCTTCAACGTTTTTACTTCGACTCGTCCTACCGAGAAGGATCGTACTACCAGAGATAGTATTTTTCACGAACAAATAATGCCTATAGGGCGATGCTTGGGAATATCAACGATATATACGTATATATATATTTATATGTATGTATGGGTTAGCCCCCTTCCCATTTCAAATTTCTGTATGATACCTTCTCGAGGGAAATTTGTCACTTTTCCTCTATCTTTCTATCTTTTTCAACAACAACCGTAAGTTATGCATGGGGTCACAGTTAAGTATGCGCATTTTTGGTGAATATTATTTCCTATCTATTTCAACGTCGTTTATTTCTTCTTTTTACACTTCACTCCTTTTCTTTTTACTTTTTCAATTTTACTTTTTTCTTCTTCTTCTTCTTCTTCTTCTTCTTTTGCAGTTAGTTGCATTAGCAGCAGACTTTCGTCTCTTAGCGCCGTCTGTTCGGCGAACTTTTGATCCCCCTGGATAGTTTTCGACTGGTCGGCCTCGCGATAGAAATTTTCTTTCGTTAAGCCGAATGCCAGGAAGTAAAGTTTTAATTAACGGGCACACATCTGGACTAGAACTTTATAGTCATGAAGGGAAGAGCTGGTTAGTTGGCAGCGCAGAGAGAACGTCGTAGTTGGCTTCGTCCTGTTACCATCACGGATTTGCATTCGAATTATATGTGTGTACTTGTACGTGTGTATCTGTATGCATGTATATGTGTGTACGTATGTCCTTTTTTTTCCTTCGTTCTTTCTTTTTTTTTTTAAGAGGTAATTACACTGTGAGTTCAGTACGCTTCACAGAACGGTGGAAATCCAACGATGCTGCTGTAGGTTGACCGCATCCTCCTCTTTCTCCTCCTCCTCCTCCTCCTCCTCCTCCTCCTCTTTTTCCTTCCTTCCAACAGATTTCGTTTCAAATTTTCTCTTTGTATCGCGCATAGCGAATATATACGAAATCTGATTAAGCTTTTGCCCCGGAGATCGAATTATAATCGAACTTTTTATTCCCATTTTCTTCTCCTTCTTTTCTTTTTCTTTTTTTTTTCTTTTTTATTATATTGTAGCTGTAACTGCAAAAGACGAAAGAAAAAAAAAAAGAAAAATTCGTAGCGGAGAACATTGATCGCTCTGGATTGCTCTTTTTCAGAGAGTCATCCCTTTTCTTTTTTTTTTCTTTTTTCTTTTTTTTTTAATTCTCTCTCGACTATCCTAAGTTAATATCTGCTTTATATAAAAGAGCGTCGGGTGCCGGTGCTCTCTTTTCCGGGAATCGATAATACCGTAGGTGCATGCACAAAGGGTACCAGCGGTAAAGGGGCTTTCGTTCATTAAAAAGGAATATAAAAGTTAAATTCATCTTTTTTTATCTATCTCTTTCTCTACTGTAATAAATGACGAATACTACGCTCTTCTCTGGAATGTATCGATGAAATATTTTAATGAAATTAAATATTTAACTAATTTAATATATATGTATATAATAATATTATACAGTAATAATTTATTACGTTAAATATGAAATATAGGATTCTTTTATTGATCGCAATTGTATATATGTAATTGAATTTAATTTTTATTTTATTTGATTTGTTTGAACATTTACCTGCTCTAACTTGGACGTCACGACTAAGTACCCTGCCAACTGAGTTACTTGCTACACATCTATATGCTGCACTGTGTACGTCTTGACGATAAGCCGCTGCCGGAAAAGGTAAGAGGACGAGTGTACCATTCCTGAGTACCCTTCTTACGGTTGGTACGTCATTTACTGGATGTCCATCTGCAGTCGACCAGTCGATATTAGGTGGAGGACTTCCGGATGCCGTGCAATCCAGCCAGGCACCGCTCGAATTTGAAAATTCCACCCTCAATGGTGGTTCTATGAGGAAACTCGGACCACGTAAATGTGCATCAAAACCATGCCCACCGGCGGACGTCACAACTGCAGCAACACCTGCGAACAAAGTAAAAACATCGTTATCCGCTTATACTGGTGAAAGTATTTCCCATTTCTTTCGATGTTTTAACGTCGAATTAATTTTTTTATATTTCTTTTTGTTTACAAGTATTTTCCTCGACATTATCGAGTGATAATTTTATTTCGGAAAAATATTCAAGTTCCTATAACATGATTATATATTATAAATTATCTAATAAATTTGATGACGAACAACACATAGGTTGTTCATGGTTTAAAACAATATCTTTGACATGACTTCGCGAGATTTTAAGTTCGATTAATGGAACATGTTACGCGTAGTTATTGAAGACATGGATCGATGTGTTACGTTATACAATTACCGTGCTAGGTAATACGTTGGACAAGTTATACTCGGTGAAGTGTATCAGGCAGCTACTCCGCTATAATGGTTTGATCGAAAGTGCGAAGGTACGAGTCAGCACCATGCTACTATGTTAGAGACTCAACATCGTGCGAAGACACTTTGGCCTAATTACTTAGGTCATCGCACTTGTGTAATAACGTGGATACAATTTAAATTACATTTTTCACGATGTAATAAAGAAACGTATACATCCAATATCGGAGATAACTTTGGTTTGACGTTTAAAAATGACACGTAAAAAAAAGAAAAGAAAAAATTGACACTTGGGTTCCGTATAAATCATTCGAAATTCAATCGACTTTATCAAAGTTTCTGTCAAAGATATTTTAATTCGACGACATCCATTATTCGAATTTGTTTTTTGCCTGTGAGACGGCCAGTACCGTTCGCCCGGTTTCCGTAGTGAATTTATCGTATGAAAAACATCGGTGATTTCGCGTGTTACTGGTTTTTGCTATGAAAAAAGGGGGTGTAGGCGAGCCTGGGTAAAACGCGGAACGCGTAACGACATTCGAGGGAGTGACGTAACTCGTTTATAACGACGTTCGAGGGAGAGAAATTCGAGTCGTGGCCGAATTTCGTAATACCTACGGATTGTATGCACGCCGCATACAAAACACAAAGTATGCAAATCCTCGATGCGGGAGAATTGAAATCCCTATAGTGTCCAGCAATTACAGGGCCGTCACGCTGGCTCTCTTTCCGGAATTGTCTCGAGTACTTAATTACTAATTCCGTGCAAGTGTTTGGTGCTAGCTCTTCGTTGAATTTAACGCAATGCACTTTACCGGGGGGTCCAAGAACTTGAGTCTAATTAGAGAGTGCAATTAATTAAAATTTAAGAGCACGGACCGTTTCTGGTAACTTAACGCACCGGAAAGGGTTACAGGCGCGCACGCGCATTCCCCTTGAAAAGCTAAGGCGGTAATGGAGCCACCACCCCTTCGCACCTTCAACGTAATAAAATATGCTAATTACTCGTTGCCATGATATAACGTACGTCATGCAAGAGAAGTCACGTCAAAGAAATTTTGCACCCCCTCCTTCCTTGAGATTTCTACCTGCATTATATAGTAGATCTACGAAACCGAATCTTTCTAAACTACGAATTTTGTTCAAGACTTTTTTCTTAAACGTCAAAGAAAATCTCTTTTTATGAAAGTAAACTAACAAATTTTTTATGGTATTTTTCATTTATTTCTTTTTATAATACGATTCGATGAGTTAAAAGGATATATAGAAGAAGAAATAAAGAAATAGAAAGATACGTATAGATATATAGATCTATATATACATATATAGATAGAAATAGTGACGAACTCGTGCGAGATCGGCATTCATGCGAATGATTTGTAACGCGGTCAACGATGCGAAGAACCCTTGACTCGAGATATGTCGGCAATGGAGATCAGAGGATTACCCGCTTCCTGCATTTCTTCCTTCTTGTCTGCTTTTCCTTCCTATTCTCGTACCACTGCAATCCTTGGGTCGAATCTCACGGTAGATCTCTCAAGAAACTAAGATTGAGAGGAACTTCGATATACATACATACATACATACATACATACATGCATACATACACGTTGGAGATTTGCGTCGACGATTTTTCAGGTTTTCTACTTCTTATTCTCTTTCTCTCTCTCTTTCTTGCTCTCTATCTTTTTTCAATCACTTCCTACTTTTCGTTTTCTTCCTTTTTTAAAGTACACTGCTTTCCTTACATGATCGTGCTCTTCCTGAAAACTTAAGAATACCCTTTTTCTCTTCTCACACCTTTCATTCATTCTCTTTCTTTCTCTCACTTATTTTTATCAAACTTGGTCTCGAGTCGATTCGTCTTCATGAATCCCTTTCTCGAGGGCATTTACTTATCTTTGTAGAAAATCTAAGACTTGTCGATAGTGAATCCCGAATGACCGATTTTGCTGATCGTTTCTAGATGTTATAAGTGACCACTAGCAATGGTGGTAACTGATAACGTGTACGTATGTAGATTAATGAATAAAATTTCATGGAAATAAAGATAAAGAGATTGCAGGGTATTGGAAATGAGTATAGGTAGCATTGCCAAGGTTTTCTCGGTATAAGAGAAAGAGAGAGTAACAAGAGTGTGTGTGTGTGTGTGTGTGTGTGTGTGTGTGTGAGAGAGAGAGAGAATGCTCGACGGGTAATGGCTTCCAATTACCATAACGCTCGGCTAAGCCGACTAATCGGTTCCGCTTATGCCGACCAGCAAATTATTATTAATCACATTGCGCATGGATTATCGTTTACGTGCAGCTACATCCAGACATTCGCAACTACCTTTCTCCTACCATGTGATTTATATTCGTGCAATTTCTCCAATGGCGGTTAGTCTTCTCGAGTGGTATCCTAGAATTTCTGTAAAATATGTCTCTCTCACTTGATAGGATATGCTTTTGCTTCAAACCATTGGATATAGGAACTTTGTGAATCGATGATATTCGAATGTCGGAGCTGTCGTAATGGAAGAAGTTATCGTCCGACCGTGGATGTCATTCATATTCTTTACAGGTGTCATTTACATTAGTATCGATTCTAATGTAACCCATATGAATTTCAGGTTTTGTAATTCGTTTTTATCACGAATAGGTTTCTTTTGTTTTTTGTTTGTCGGTTCTTTGTGTTACACAAAAAGGATTCAACTAATTATTTTCGAAATGTACCTATCCTTTACACGTGAGTTTACCATCATCTAGGAAATTCATTGTTAAAGACAAAGGTAGTTATGTATATATATATATAGGTAGATAGGTAGAGTCCGACGTGGGTTAGACCCTCGCACGAACCCGGAATCAATAGGCGGAACAAACTGTGTAAGCGGCTAGAGGTCGCTGGTAAGATTGAATTTGCAGAGTACGGAGTAAAGAGCGCTAGAGAGAAAAAAGAACGGAAGAGGAAAAGCATAGTTTAGAAGGTGGGTCGGTGAAGGGGGAAAGGAGGGGGAAGAATAAAGATGGGTTGAGCTGAGTAAATCTGACCGAATAAAAGCCTCTTACACTTTCACAACTAACGGGGGTCTCGTGATCGTTTCTCGAACGTTCCTACGTCTTCTTCCTTAGATTCAAAGAGACCCTCTTCCCTCCCTCACTCCTTCTGTTTGCTCTTACGATAAAAATGACAATTAATATTTGATTTGAACATTGGAACTTATCTATCTAACGTTCTACCCTAAGATATTTTTATTCCTTTTTCCATATCTTTTAATACTTTTGCTTTTAGGGGTACTTATTGTTTTTTTTTAGGAATTTTTACCGATAGAAATTATTTTAATATCATCAAAATTCTTTTCTATCGTTCGTGGAATTATTATACGATAGTGTTCGTAATATTTACTTTTTAACGTAATTTATCGTTTCAATATTTGTTTAATTTTCTCATGAATAATTTTGAATAGATTTGCGTTAGTTTTCATCGAGTATAGTAGTAAAATATGACGAACGAGGAGTGATATTGTAGTTTGAACTTTTCTAGTCTTATTATTTTCATCTATTTCAGAGAATTGCAATTTATTCGGATCGGTTAAACATAAATTTGGTATGTCATGTCTAGCTCCAACGGCGAATAGTTTCGTCGGCGTGTTTCAGAGGACACTCGAGTCACCTAAAATATTCACCTCATCTCAGTAGATGGTCTCGAGTCGAGAGATCTCTCCGGAGGGTTGCGAGTTTAAAGTTTAAGGAGATCAGCTTGTCGCCTTACGTATAGCGTCGTTTTGTCCTATACTTACGACGAAGATAAAGGAATATATGTATATGAAAGTGGATGAAGAAAAGAGAGAGAAAGAGAGAGAAAGAGAGAGAGAGAGAGAGGAAAGTTCTATCATTTCGATACAATTTCATGGTCTTACATTTCAGTAAATATTGTTATAGACATGGATGTACATGTTAAAGGTATTTTCTCACCCCTCATTCCCCTACGATCAAAATTCGACTGAAATATTTTCAACGAAACAAATAATAACAACGTTCTCATATACTTCGTTAATAAAACATTCACGATTCTTGAAGAATTTTCGCATAGTCAATGCTTTTAGACATTTTTGTTAGTCTACTTTGATACGTTTCGAGGTTTATTAAATTTCGATCGGCGTAATGGCGCTTGATGGGCATACTTAATCGAATTGTCGGTATCGTGATTTCAGGGTCACTCGTCTATTAAACTCGAAACGATATTTTCTCTCAATTCATTGATAACTGAAATTCAATAGAAATTGATATATGAAATGAATAATCGATATTTAAATAACCTGGCATAGTTTTAGCATCGAATTAGAATATACGAATAAAAAAAGTAGTATTTTTAAAATAGGAAGTTGAGAAGAATGACGCAATTTAAAGAAAAGAAAAAAAACAGACTAGTTTTTTGATAAAAGGGAAACGATTTTATGAATCCTCTCGTAGGATAGCACTCTTGCGTTGGTGACGTACGACGTACACATAGCTCTGGGCAACAAGTTGAGAAAGTTGTTTAGCCGTTCCTCGTAAGAGGGAACGAAGACGACGAGGCTTCTTAAAAACTACTCGTGTAGGAACACGACCAATTTTACAGCGTGCACCTTCGACCGAAAGTTTCGCACGCTACGGGC